GGTGGGAGGGGGCAATCGCCACGTCTTGCACACCCTACGAAATTGAAATCCGCAGTCCCTGGAAACAAAAATTAAAGGGGCTATCCCACCTTTAACATGGGGTTTGAGTTGAGATAGCCAAGTTTGCGGCGAGGTTCAGAAACCACTATCTATCTAGGTTGCAACCCCCGCGGCCTCTTGGTGTTGAAGAAATTCGTTCCCTTCATTTGAAAATGGGCCTTGCGCAAGGCCCTATCTTCAACATGGAGCGGCCGTTAGTGTGACGTCACCTCGTTTAGTCATTCTGATTTAAATGGGTTTGTTCGTTGAAAAATCGCTTTAAACTTGGTCTGAACTTTGTTGTGGTGCCTACAGAGTAAAAAGAATCAGCTTTATGACAGTAATGTGGCCTGGGGAAGGAGGTAATTTTGGGCTGTGACGTCACATATTTGAAAGTTTGTGTTTGGAATATGGGAAGCCTAAGATGTTTAATGAAAAATAAATGCCAGAACCGTGTTCCTGGTCATCCAATCTATAAAGTCGGGCACAATTTAACTGGTTTTAACAACATTTTAGAAGGTGGGATAGTCCCTTTAAACAAATCGGCCCGAAAGCTTAAAAATAAAAAATGAAAAAACTCGAGATGTAGGGGAGAGTGGGGTAAGATGCCCAGGGTTTTACAATCTCATATATCATTCGAAAATGACGATCGGAAAGCAAAAACTTGGAGTTTCGACGGAAGCCGACATCATTTTTCTCCAAAATATAACAAAGTTTCGTGCCTGAAATATGATAGCTTTTATGCTATTAAGCATTTTCCTGAAGAAGTGAAAGGGGGCATCTTACCCCACAGGGTCGGAAAGACGCCCCCTGGCGTTGGGGAAGATGCCCCCCTGCACTACAAGTGACATAAATGGGTACGTGAATCGCCTGAACGAATCAGTAGTCCCTTCGAGCCTGCAATAGACACTAAACGTCATCGTAAGGGCCCTCAAAAGTAGTCGTAAGGGGCTTCAGAGGTCATCGTTAGGGCCATCATAGTCCAGCGCGGCCAAACAAGCCTCCGTGGTGGCGTTCGGAGACTGTTATGGGGCCCTTAAATAGGTCTTCATGATGTTTGAGGGCCCTCGAGCCCATCGTGGGGACCTCAGATGCCAGCGCGGCCCGTGGAGCCAAAGTGGGAGCCCTCAAAGGATGTCGTGAGGAGCCTTGGAGCCAATAATGGGGCCCACAGAGGCCGTCGTGAGGGCTCTCAGAGTCAGATGCCGCCCAAAAAGTCGCTGTGTGGGCCGAGAGACCGGCATGGGGAGCACCCGACCGTACTGGACTCTCAATAGTCCCAGATCGGCTTTTGTCTCTCATCACAAGTATGTAATAAATGATTTAACGGGTTCCTTGAAGGCCAGCCTACATATTTATATTCGTTCAGTCTTTCCCCATCAGGGCAGGGGGCATCTTACCCCAAGGTACCGAATTAACATTAAATCTGTACAATTTGTTTGCCATAAAACTATATCCTGAAACAAACTGTTTGGGACACAGTACACGCATGTTAACCCGCGCCCTGATGGGGGGGGGGCATTTTGGCCCCCCCTGTGGTTTGTCTTAAATAGCGAGAAAACGGCGGCGCGCAGCGCCGCCAAATTTTGGGTACCTTACCGGACATCAATTTGACACCTTCACACAAAATTTCAAGTCACAGGTCACCTCAGGTCAGGAGTTATTGAGGTCAAACTGAGGTCATGTTCGAGTAAAAATGAGCAAAAAACATGACATCTTGAAACGCTCACCAATTCTACAGTTAACAAGCAATTTTAAAGTTCTTTATGTGGTTGTGTAGAGAAAAGACGGCGCTACAAAACTGCTATCTCGGATTTTCAAAATTTTGGGATTTTGACCCCCAAAAATCAAAAAAATTGATTTTTTTAGAAAAACTCAAAAAATTTCCAAAATTGTTTTCGAATTTCGAAAAAAACCGGAATATACGTGATAGTCCCTGCGCTCTTCGATATACATACCAAATTTTAGATCGATACCTCTTTTTTTGGCCAAGTTATAGCGAAAAAACTGTTAAAAATTGATGACGTCAAATTTTTGAACTCCATTTTTAGCAATTCTAGACCTCGTAGCGCAAAACGGAGACCACCATTGAACTCTCCGTGACGAGCTGCATCGAATCGATACCCATTTTATGCAAAAATATCAACTTTGAAATTTGACCTAATTTGACCTGACCTTGACCTGACCTTGACCTGACCTTGACCAAAACGTGACCTAAGCTGGCCCTAAAGTCTGTCTGACCCACATAATCGCATTTGTCATGTAAAATGGACCATAAAACATGTATCACACGACACTTTCATATTGTGACCCCCCAGTGACCTGACCTCTGTGACCTGACCTGGTATCAGTGACCTCAAATAGCAAAATATGTGTTTTAAGAACATTTCCCCATCGATGATTTTCAATGAAATGCATTTTACACGATTTTACAACGCATTTCTTGAAATGCCTGTAAACGGTGAAAATTCGACCTTTGACCTCACCTGTGACGTCATCGGTTTGACCGAGGTCAATGAAATTGGGTCACAAGGTAGTTCCCCGTTGGGGCTATCCAACACCGTTTACCGCTTGTCGCTATGTTGCGTGGTTCTCGAGATCTGAGGGGGGGGGGGGCAAAATGGCCCCCCCCCCATCAGACCGCGTTGCTCGGCAGACCCCATCTGGGCGCGGGTTAATGTATCACGACCATAGCAAGGGACATAAAATTTATTTACCTTCTTTGATAATTACAATGTTTTGACATCAAAATATTTTTTGAAAGAAGCAAATAAAAAACATGCAATCACCAGCCAGCCGTTGCCCAACTGAGCTTCGCAAATTTGTGTGCAGTTACCAAGGCAGTCTTCCACTTTACGCTAAGAACATTAATTTCCAGGTTCGATTCATTGTTTCGCCGCTAGAAGGGGTGGGGCGTCTTTCCCACCCTGGGCATCTTACCCCACTCTCCCCTATACAAAAAACTTTATTCTTCACTTCTTCAGAGTCTCAAAAACGCATGTTAATCACTGTTTCATTGTTTTTCAATGTTGTATAACGTTTGGCATTTGAATAAGCCGTCTTAGAGTTACAGCCCACCAAACATAGCGCAGCAGCGCAAGGTAAAAGATGTTACACTACACTATAACTAAAAAAGAAATACTTATCTGATAACCCGCGCCCCGCTGGGGGGGGGGGGCAGAATCTGCCCCCTCCCGTCTTTCGCCAATAACTTCTAAACGCGTTATGCCAGCGACGTCAAACTTTCAATGCTCTATCATACATCAATTCGACACGTTTCCTGAAAATGTGAGCGAAATCCGTCGGAAATTTTTTGAGAAAATGACGTTTTAGTGACGTCATGTTCGCAATTTTCGCCTCAAAAACGGCAAAATTTCAAACGCCGCTAACATCTTCATTTTTAAAGGAATCAAGACGTAACAAAAAAGGTTATACGTGATTCTACTTTGTCTATCAAATGGCAATCTCGGTGTTTTGAAAATTTAGGATTTTGGCCCAATTTTTTTCTAAACAAACTGACTTTTTGGGGAAAATAATGATAAAATCCAAAATTTTGAGTGTATCGTAAAACCGGAATAAATGTCAGAGAACTGGTCTATGTGCACTTATATACCAATTTTTAGAAGAATCGGTTAAAAAATGTGGGAGTTATTCAAAATTTTATGACGTCACGACACACAAAATTTTCGAAAAATGATTCTTTTGGAAGTTCTAGACCTGGTACGGAAACAAAAATAGCACCATTCGATTCGCCGTGAAAATCTGCATCAGATAGACACCTTTTTAGGCCTTAACAACCAACTTCAAAATTTGACCTCACTTGACCTGACCTTGACCTGACCTCGACCTGAAGTTCATCCAGATGTGGTCCATATCACTTATTGAGTGTGCCTATTGAATTCTATGAATAAAATGACCCATAAAACATGTGTCGCACATGCCCTTTTCTATATTTCGTTTTTGGTGACCTGACCTGACCTTGACCTTGACCTTTGCATGATATTGTATGCAACGAATATTGTCTTGGTAGCCTAAGAACACGTTTTGGGCAATCAGTCTCAGTCCATTCTTCGGCAACTACGGTGCAAGGCCGATACTGTAGAAACTTGCATTTTGTACCCTTGACCTGACCTTGACCTGACCTCTGACCTACTTAAGCAAAAAAATGGGCACTTAAGATCCGCCTTGTTGAGAGCTTTCGATTGCCGTTTTCCCCGTCTTTCTACGACCATCGGTTCGGAAGTTAGACAGGGGGGGGGGGCAGAATCTGCCCCCCCCCCCAGCAGGGCGCGTATGGCTGAATAGCCCAGCGGGGCGCGGGATAAGCTTGAAATTGTTATAAGCTCCTGATTACCCCTAAAACCAATTCTCGTCAAAATCCGAGAGATGAGGGTGACTAATTGAAAAAAGACCGGTACGATCTATCGTGGAATGCCCCTGCTGTAAAAAGGCCAGTACAGGCGAGCGTAAACACGCACTAAAACTTGCGTTTGAGTAACTGAAAATGGTATGCCACATCTGGCATGTATGTAAGTACCTTGAGCAAACAACTGCTGCGTGTTATAGCCGTGGCGCTGAGTCGTTTTGCTCGTGCCGCTGTCATTCAGTGACGCTCGGTCGATGACAGGGCTGTGTGAGGTTTGCGCGCGGCGTACACAGAGCTGCTGACGGCTGACGGCTGACGGTGACGGTGACGGTGACGGCTGACGGCCGGTGACGGCTGACGGCTGACGGGCCGGGCCGGGTGCTGCGACGTACGACCGCTGCTGCAGGCAGACTCGGCCCAGAGCGAGTGTGGCGGCGGTCTGCGACGGCCAGTGCTGCCCGACCAGTCAGCAGCGGTCACCAGCAGTCACCAGCAGTCACCATCAGTCACCGTCAGTCACTAGCAGTCACCGTCAGTCACCAGCAGTCACCGTCAGTCACTAGCAGTCGGCAGTCGGCCGACGGCGACAATCCGCCTCTGGCCGGCCGTTTCAGCCCACTCGGAGGTATGGTCGGTGCTGGCAGCTGGTGGCCGGCCGCGCTGCTGGCCGCGCTGCTGGCGCTGGGCCCGGCCCAGCCGGTGCCACAGGCGCCGCCGCCGGCCGCCGGCCCTCCAGCAGCCAACGGCAGCCTCTTCGGCGGAGGCCGGCCCGTCTCGGCGGCCGACCGACTGGACCGGCTCGAGCGAAGGCTCGGCACACTGTGAGTCGGCTGGGCACACTGTGAGTCGTGAGGGCAGTGGCACAATGTGAGACGGCTGGGCACACTGTGAGTCGGCTGGGCACATTGTGAGAGGGCACATTGTGAGAGGGCACATTGTGAGAGGGCACATTGTGAGAGGGCACATTGTGAGAGGGCACATTGTGAGAGGGCACATTGTGAGAGGGCACACTGTGAGTCGGCTGGGCACACTGTGAGTCGGCTGGGCACACCATGAATCGCGAGGGCACATTGTGAGAGGGTACACTGTAAGAGGGCACACTGTGAGAGGGCACACTGTGGGAGGACACAATGTGAGTCGGCTGGTCACAGTGTGAGTCGGGAGGGCACACTGTGAGAGGGCAATTGCTGGTTCAAGGTCACGAATAGAGGTTAGGTCAAGATCGCTGACCTTTGATGACCTTGGTTCACTTTTTTAGTTTTATGTGTGCCTATTGTAGTTTTTGGAGCTGATTTCGAATAAAGCACCCATTTGAACATTTACGAAGCAGTTTTGGTGCCTTCGTAACATGTTACGAAGCTGTTACGCACACACACTCATACTGGGTCGAGGTTGCATGCCTTGGGCGGCGCGGGTCCGGTCCCCCGGAATTGCACAGCTCACTTTCAATCAAGTAATCCCGCAACAATGTTTTCTTTCTCGTCCTGTGAATTATATAAGTGGTGTTTTGCACATACCGTCCTCAATCACTTTCACTGATGGCCGAGCCCAGACTGAAGGTGATTACAGTTCGGAGCCGGAAGCAATGACCATGAACAAAATAATAAACAAGGCTAATAAACAACCAAAAGCCAGTAAGGGCATCTCCAGGTCTCTTAATCGAACTGATTAAGATTACATCCCGGACGAGCCACCAGTGTGAATTTTATATTTTCCTTTGCCAGCTTGGCTTCACGCGTGAAGTGTCTGCTGAGCAGGTCGTTTGTCTAGGAGTATGAAAGTTTATTTTTAGCACCACTTCTAAAGCATTCGTCTCTTTCAGACGTGAACGTTACCAACTACAAAGAATTTGCTTTGCCTTGGAACAGGTATATTACATTACAGGCCACAATAGACATGAGATTAGATTCGAGTAAAGCAAAAGCACAGTTACTAGGCAATAGGCAGACAGGCGCAATGTTACCCGCTACACGCGCAGTGACGAAAACACTTTCGCGTCACTCGGGCACAACAGGTCCTGACTGGACCGGTGTCCCACCGGTACTCACATCGCAGCGTGGCGAGGCAGAGGAGCAGCACTGCTCCTGCCGAGTCGAGTCGGGCGAATGCGAGCGAGAGTCCCCCAGAACGAACCAGCCCCGACCCTGAGCCGCGCGCGAGTTTTTATACCGTCACACGCAGTGTGACGTCAGGACCCGCGCACTTTCACACAATCCGAAGGACCGCGGTAAAACATATACAAATAATGCACCAAAGAGTGTGCTACATATGCTACATGGGTGGTTGTAAGAACCCTTCGTTATCCGCGAACTGAATCATATGCGAAACAAGTGCTAACTCACGAAGCCATAAAACGACAGCGCTACATACAGAATACCAGATATGATAAAGGTCACACTTGATATACCTAAGATCACAATTTTGTTAGCAGTTACAATCATCACAATAAACAATGCGACCCGGTACACCATCAGTGTTTATTGTACCAGAAGGCCCGTATCGTTTATCGTAATGGTACATTGCCATTTTTAAACCTACATAATACAACCGCCAAATGATACAACTTGTATTAGGTATGTTTTCTGTTTAGGATAAACCCGTGAAACCACGTAAGATCCTGAACATTCCGTGACACACACCAGAGACCTAATGCATATCTCACTCTGAAGTACTGTACAACCTGCAGTCTGTAGATGTCGGTCCTGCAATAGGTTATTACGCACGTATCTATCGTTGAATACGTCGTAATCCATTATCAATAGACAATAAATAATATGATCCGTATTCCAGGCAAAAGAATAATAACTGTTGCAATCCAATGCAGTGCTTACGACATAAATACAATAAACTACATATTTTAAACGTCGAAGAAACGCGCACGACACGTGGCGCCAATCATATGTTATACAGTGCTACAAAGATATAAACCTGTTCCGATCCAAGGCCGTGCAATTAATACAATCAACTGCATAATGTTAACGTGGAAGAGAGCGCGCGCGCCGCGCGGCACAGCTGTAGGTGCGACGTGGGCTGTGTCGTCCCACGCTGACCCGGTTTCGCCACCGCTCTTGTCCCGAGGGTCGGGCACTGCTTGTGCGTAGATTGCGACACCTTGCCGGCGCCTCGCCGGTGCGTGCGGGTGGGGAGGTTTCATCACGGCGCCGGCCTCGGCCAAGGCCAGATAGCCTTGGTCCTCGCTGCCGCTGCGTGGTGTTACGAGCCTTGCGCCACCATGGCGGCGACACGGGCCGCGTTCAGCTCGATCGTGCCCTCGGCAGCGCGGGTCGCGCCTCACAGCGACCGTGATTTTCTCACAGTCCCAAATGTTCAAAGTGACTGGTTGCACTGTTCGTAAAAGCTCAAGATAGAGAAAATCACATTTATGTCAATGAACTGTCGTGGACTTGCCGATGCGAAGAAACGTAGGGATGTAATTCATTATATCCGAAATAAGCGGTTCAATGTCGTATTTTTACAAGATACCCACCTCACAGAGAAAACAACAGTATACTTTGATAGCTTGTGGACGGGAAAAGCGTATCATTCGTGCTTATCCTCACGTAGCCGAGGCACAAGCATACTGATGAATAATAACTGTCCTTATACAATTATTGAAGAAAGGAAATCCGAGTGTGGAAACTTCGTTCTCGTAGTATGTAAAATATACAACGAATCATATCTATTCGTTAATATATATGGACCAAATGAAGACAACCCAACTTTCTACTATAAATTGAAAGGCATAATTGAACAATTTGACGTTGAACATACAATTATTGCCGGTGATTTTAATTTTGTAATGTTTCCAAATATTGATTCATTTAATTACGTCAGCGAAAATAATCATCGTGCCAAACAACAATTTCAAGAAATAATATATCAACACAAGTTAATAGATATCTGGCGATACAAATATCCAAATGAACGTAAGTACACATGGCTAAGGAGAAATCCGCTAAAAGCAGGACGTCTCGACATGTTTTTTATTAGTGATGAGATGATAAATTCATCTCTAGACGCCGATATTTTACCAGGATATCGTACTGACCACAACGCGATCTCGCTTTCATTACAAAGCAAACAGAAAAGAGGAAGTGGTTTATGGAAATTCAATATTTCACATTTAGCACGTGACGATTACAAAGAAATAATTAAGGAGTGTATAATACACAATATAAAACAGTACGCAGTGCCCGTGTACGCAAATGACATTTACACTGACTATAAATACTACGATTCGCTACAGTTAATTATAAGCGACAGCTTATTTTACGAAACATTAATAATGATGATAAGAGGCGAAACAGTCAAATATTCAAAAAAGAAAGCTAGAGAGAGACGAATTAAGGAGATCAAGCTAGAGGCTGAAATTGCCAAAGTTGAGTCAAAATGTGTGCATTCAGGCCAAGAAAGTAACATCGATGAATTACAGACATTGAAAAACGAACTAGAGGAGCTTAGGCGACCAATGATCGATGGATTGATTATTCGTTCTAGGGTATCCTGGCACGAAGAAGGAGAACGTAGCACAAAATACTTTTTATCTTTAGAGAAGAGAAATCATGATAAGAAAAATATTCAATATATTCAAGATGGCGATGTCATAATTACCGGCAGCGAAACAATATTAAATAGCTTTTCTGAAATATATCAATGTAAATATAGTGAGAATAGAACAATCACCACACACAAACAATTTGTGGCAAAACATGTTTCAAATAAGCTTAATAATATAGAACAGCTAGAACTAGACGAGGATCTAAGTCTTTCGGAATTAACAAATGCTTTATATTCCATGAAGAAAGGAAAGACGACAGGGTCTAACGGTTTCCCAATCGAATTTTTTCGTTGTTTTTGGCCTGAAATAGGACCATTTTTATGGCGAGCAGTAGGAGAAATGTTCATTAAAAACGAAGGACTTCAAACACATCGTGAGGGTATCATTACACTCATTCCTAAAAAAGGGAAATCATTGCGCCATCATAAAGATTGGCGACCGATTACGCTGCTAAATACCGACTACAAGATTGTATCCACGGCAATGGCGAATAGACTTAAAAAGATAATGATGAAAGTTATTGGTCCGGCTCAAACTGCATACACAGCAGGAAGGTTTATTGGTGAAAACACTCGATTACTTTATGACATAATTCATTGGACGAATACTAATAAACAGCCAGGCATGATACTAGCAGCTGATTTTGAATCCGCTTTTGAGTCAGTCGACTGGAATTATCTTAAAATGGTACTTCACCAAATAAATTGCGGTCCCAACCTAAAAAGAATGATTGATCGCCTGTATTTCAACAACCAAAATAACTCACGTATTATCTTGAATGGGCACTTAGGCAAGAAAATTTATTTGCAAAGAGGTATCCGACAAGGCGATCCAGCATCTGGGTATCTTTTCAACATTGCAGTTTCTCTACTAACCCAACAAATAAATCAATCTATGAACTTTACTGGTGTGAAGATTAGTGAAAATAATGAAATTAGAGTGAGCCAGTATGCCGACGATACCATACTGTTTCTTGATGGTACAGAAAGATCGATATCAGGATCCATTGATGAACTTCATGAATTCGGTAAGCAGTCTGGCTTAAAAATAAACGTAGAAAAAACATCATGTATGCCTATTGGAACAACGGAAGTGAATCAAATAAACACAGATAAAACCATTAAATTTGTCAATAAACTTGTCATTTTAGGTATTCAGATAGAACGCAACCTTTCTCAAATCACAGATAACAACATTCATCTTAAAATGTCGAAAATCAAAAGTGAGTTAGGACAATGGAAACGGAGATATCTGACCCCAATT